ACTCAATACTGCCTAGTGCTTAGCAAGTCACTACACGTGTTACTACAAGGTGTGTAGTAACAGGTACTACTACATCAGATGTGATAAAGAAATTAATGTCACACTGTAATGCTTTAGGCACCTAATGAAAATGTTCATTAATAAAGATTTAAAAACAATCTGAAGCCTCTTTTAGACGTGTTAAATTAACACTGAACAGTGTTTGATGGGTTCTCAAAGGAGATGGACCTAATAACACAAAACATGTTCATTTGATTTAATTCACAAACTGAATCTCAGATAGTGAGATTTCACCTTTCAGTTCCACCTGTTCTGAGCTCTCCTCAGAACGAGCTGTTTATGCAGATAAGTTGCTGTTGGTAACCCCCTCCCAACCTTTTGTTTACGTCAGCTCCGCCCTCCCAGCACAGCGTTTGTTAGCACTTCAGAAACGTGAAAATAAATGGCTAGTATGAGGAAAGGCACAATGGTTTAACGGTGGTAGAGAGGCTCTGTGCGTCCACCCCCTGTAGGGATCTGTCTGGTGTTCTGTCTCCCTCTTGTGTTCTCGTTGTGTCATCACTTCTCATCTCTCAGTCTGTTTCATGTCATTTTCCTTGTTAACGTCACTCACCTGTCAGTCACCTGTAATCAGTCTCATCAGCTGTTGTCCATTATCTTCTCTTCCTCTGTCTGCATAAAACTCGTCTCTTCTCTCATTCCCTCGTAGGTCATTGTGTGGCTTCGTCTATCTTTCTCATGTCCTTGTGTTCCTCTGTGTCTCCTAGTGTTTTAGTTTGTTTGCTTCCCTTCAGCTATTTGTTTTATTTAATAAAACATTTTTATTAGATCTCCTTGTCTCTRTCCGAACTTGAGTTCTTTCTTGTGCGTCTAATCTGGCACCCCCAGGGCTTGGTAGACTGGAGCGTCTGACCAAAGTCMGAGGAGGACAATGCACTTCCTGAAGCCGGCGAAAACGAACAGAGGGGTGGTCAAGGTCTGAGCCCAGCAGCCCGGAGGCTCTCGTGAGACAAACGCTATGACACGGGAGAGTCCAGTCCTCAAGGACAAATTCTCTGCCGGATTGGTTGATGACGAAACACCATGCTGTGCAGCCAGAGGACAGCGACTGGTGCCCGGGGAGGCTAACGTGTGTCTGTCACTGATTCCCGATGCCAGCGTAGGGAAGGGGGAAAGACGGTCCGTGCATGGACGTAGTGCCTACTGTACAAGCCTGCGGAGCAGTGCTATGATCTGGGGCTGCTGCAGGTGGTCAGGTCCAGGTTCAGCAACAGTTTGTGCTCAAAGAATGAGGTCATCTGACTACCTGAATATAAGTAAGTAAACTTTATTTATATAGTACCTTTCACAGGTCAGAAACCACAAAGCGCTTTACAAGAAGACATCAACACACAAGAGATAAAACAAGATAGATAAAACAAAACATACATGTGATAAAAATATTACATGTTAGAAAAAAATTGATTAAAAAATTAATTAAAAGCCAATCTGAACAAAAAAACAGAAGAACAAAAGCTACTGCGCCCGTTCTAGCTCTYTGGTGGCAGCTCCCGAGATCTCACAGATTTGGTCAGCAAAATGTCTTAAGTCGTGTTTAAACCTGACCACTAGGGGTTCGGGTAGGTGGGTTATGTCTTCAAGCACAGCGTGGAGATCATCGCCCYTTACTCTGTGAAACTGTATGGCCTCCTCAAACGTTCCTTGATTATGACTCCTGGTTTGCGGGTGATGTAGCACAGCCCATCAACCACCTCCTCCTCTTTCGGGAAAGGAGAGCTGTRGTCCACTCGAAGCCCACTGGATTTGTGCACATAAACTACCAAAGATGAGAGCTTTGATCCACCTCCTTCAAGCTGCCTTGTGTAAATGACTCCTCAGTTACACCAGATAAACCCACACACTAGATAAATAACTGATGGACAGCCTTTGTGTCACCCTCTTCCTCTTCCATTTCTGGTAGCAGATTGGCAGAAATAWACTGAATGACCAGGTTATTCCATCAATGGATTGTTTCTTCCCTGACGGCACGGCCATATTCCAAGACGACAATGYCATGAATCATCGACTCGAATTGTGAAAGAGTGGTTCAGGGAGCACGAGACATCATCTTCACAAATGGATTGGCTCCACAGAGTCCAGTGAGAATCTTTGGGAAGTGCTGGAGAAGACTTTGTRCAGCGATCAGACTCTACCATCATCACTGCAAGATCTTGGTGAAAAATTAATACCACACTGGATGGAAATAAATCTTGAGACAATGTATAATCTTACTGAAACAATGCCACAGTGTGAATGCAAACCGTAATCAAAGTTAAAGGTGGTCTAACAAAATATTATAGTGTGTGACATTTTTTATTTGGTGGCAACATTTTCTTTTGGACCAGACAGTGTATTTATACATTGTTTTTATTGTTTTTAGTTATTTTGCTCTCTGTTAAGCACACATATTTGTGTCTTTGAAAGGTGCTATGTAAATAAAGTTTACTTACTTAAACAGTAACATTGAACAGTGTTAAATTAACACTAAACAATAACAATAAACAATGTTAAATTAACACTATAGTGTTAAATTAACAGTAATAAGTAACAAACAGTGTTAAAATAAAACTAAACAGTAACACTGGACAGTGTTAAATCAACACTGTCATATTTGCTGTGTACATACTTTAATGCTATAGGTTAAATTTAGAACCTGTATTAGTTATTTAGTCATAACAAAGTTTTTACAAGTCAGTATGTTGTCTAAAACCTTATAGTGTGACAGGATTTAGACATGAAAGTACCAGGTATGTACTTGCTACATAACCTGTAAGTACCAGGTACATGCCTGTTATGTACCAATTATAAACCATAGCCAGACAGCATTATCTATTGGTACTAGCATTTTTTAATATAACATATTTTTTGGACTATAAACTGCGACTTTTTTCCGAACTTTGAACCATGCGGCTTATAGTCCGGTGCGGTTTATACGTGGATTTTTTTCTTCAGCCACCAGGGGGCTCTTATGCTCCATTTGTTTCAACAACTCGCTTCAAAAAAAGAAARGAAAAAAAAAAAAGAAAAAAGCGATCGTTCCAGAGGCGACTGTTGTACCGAGAAGCAGCGATTTAAAGATAGTCAATGGCCAAAAACTCATAAAAGGGGATAAAACAGTATTTTTCACTGTGGAATCTGACTGATAAAAACTTTGGAGCTTAATCCAGGACCAGTTTGTGGATAAACGTCGAGTGAAGAGCCGCAGACCTTTTTTTTCCCGCATTGCACTCCCCGGGGAAGGAATCCCATGCAGTGACGTATGCTGGAGAGGGAGGGCTTTCCCAGCAGCTCGGCTAGGGGTTTCTCGGGGGAACTATGAAAGGTCAGTGCGAAAACTAACGCCAAACAACCATGTGACGGCGCGTCGACCGGTCAACAGCCGAGCGACCATACTGCCAGCTTAGCCAGAGGTGTAGCACCATTTTGTTTTAGCTAGTAGCAGACACGATATTGGACAGTATGCGGGCCACATCATGGATTCGGTGAAAGCAGCCATCAAGAAAACAAACTCAATTCCTGCTGTTATTCCTGGAGGTACAACAACGTTTCTACAACCCCTGGACATCAGTGTGAATCGTGCATTTAAAGCAGCACTCAGGGCTGAATGGGAGGCTTGGATGACTGACGGGGATAAATCATTCACAAAAACTGGCCGAATGTGAAGAGCGTCATTTCCTGATGTCTGCCAGTGGATCCTAACAGTGTGGAGCAGAGTGAATGAGTCCACCATCACCAGTGGGTTCTGAAAGGCTGGACTGCTACGTGAAGAGGACACCACAGCTTCAGAGCCAGCATTACCCCGGGAGGACAACAGATACCGCTGTGTGACGCAGCTTTTCTCAGCTTGTTTAACTCCGACACTGAAGAGGAGGACTTCGATGAATTCAGTGCACCGGAGGAAGATGAATGAGACGTTTTGTTGGACCAGAAACTGTTAAAGAAAACTACCAAAATAAGGTCAGTTAAATGAACCGTATTCCTCCGAACTTTAATTCTTAAAGGTTTGCTTTTTATGTTTTGATGTTGAATTCACTTTTTTGACGACAATTTTGGGTGTACTGTTTTTTTATGTTGGGAGTGCGGCTTATATGCTAATGTTCACGGGTTGTTTTTAAAAAATGGCAGGTGCGGCTTATAGTCCGGTGCGGCTTATAGTCCGAAAAATACGGTATGTGTATCTAAGAAAGGAAAAAAACTTTACATATATAAAAACTTACCACTCCAACTGATGTGAATGCTGCCACAATGTTTATGAGGGTTGGGATCATGTTAAACTTTCCTGCCTGTAAAAAAAGAACATTTGGTAAAATTCCCATTTCCAGTTCCCTGGTGGCAAAAGTGGGTGCTGGTCAAGTCATACTTCAGATTGTACACCCTATTTGCCATTTTGTACACAACCCTTACTTTTCCATATGTGGTGGTTGTTGGATGTGAAATGCAATTATATTAACAAACATTTCTGTGCATAATGCAATTAATTTAACCACAAAAATCATCCATTAAGTGAGCGTGTTCAGATTGTACATAGGGTTAAATTTTGACAGATTTTTTTCCAATGTACTAAGGCGTGGACGTCAGTTGCACGTTCGCATGCTCATAAGTCCATCTTACTAATCAGGAGTCCAAGCCTGGGGGGGGGGGGGGATATTAATGTTAGTTCCACAACAACAGCAACACTGAATAGGCTACTTAGTGTTGGAGACATAACAACACACCAGGCTGATGTGTTCCAGGAGGCAGCACAAGGATTTTTAGTACAAGCAGTGGAGTATGCTGTCGCAAAACTGCCCTTCAACATGCCATGTTTGTGGACCCCAAGCAGAAGTCCGATTGTGATGTTGAGGATGATTTGTACTTTGTGAACAGGTAAGGACTGGACACACAAATCCTGTTTTTCTATTCTGTTCCCCTCCCAAATTAATTTTGGCACATTTTGTTCTTCCTAGATTTCCTGACCTGCTTCCATTTCATGGGCCCCAGTTCATGTCCTTCCCCACTTCAATCCTGATGCAGAGAGAGTTTTTTCTGTGGTCGGCATTAACAAGACTAAAATGAGGAACAGCTTAGCAGTGGATGGCACCTTATCATCAGTAAAGACTGTAAAAATGGCTGGATTTGAACCCAAGTGTTTTAAATGAAAGCCCCCTACATCTGTGATCAAACAAGCTAAATCTGCTACAAACACATACAACACCATTCATAAACATGTACAGTATAAAAGATACAGACACACTAACTTTCGGACCTGGAGTCTTTCTGTGTGGAGTTTGCATGTTCTCCTCATGTGTAAGTTTTTTCTGGCCACTCCAGTTTCTCCCACTGACCAAATATTTGTGTAATAAGTGAGCTGCCTAGCCTTGTCTGGTTATCAGGCCGTCCTCCAGAGCTCTACCCTTGCCTTGGTCAGGCCCTTGGCTGCCCTCCTGAGTTCCTGTCTTGCCCTGGTCGAGTCCCGGTCACCTACCTGAACTTTTACCTCCCGTCAGATGTGCCTAGGGCCATCTTTGGACTATTTTTGAGATTTTGTGTTTATTTCCCAGGGTTTTTTCCAGTCGGTTTTTGTTTTTGTTTTTTTGATTTAGTTATTTCTTTGTGTTCCTTTTTGTCTGTGTTTTTTGAGTCTTGTGTCCCTTTGTCTCTGGCCTGCCATCCAGTCATTGTTTGTATCCCCCGCCTCCCTCCCATACTAGTGTTTGTGGTGTATCATCTGGAGATGGTTCTTAGAGGAGGGGGTACTGTGAAGATCTATTGTCTTTTGTCTCACCCTCTATCCCCCCCTGGTGTTCCTCTTGTGTCTCACACTCTCATATTAGTCCTCAGTTTATCATTTCCTTCCAGATCATTCTCTCTCACCTGTCTGTACTTTGCAATCACCCAGCTGTCTCCACTGTCCTTACCCTGTTACTTTATTACAGATTCACTTACTCCACTTCCTCATCCATTCATTGTTGGTTTCAGCCCTGGCTTCCTCCATGTTTCGCCCGAGTTTTTATCACCACCACGTCTGCATTTTGCTGGCTAAAATTAAATCCCAGGGAGTCCAACATTTCACTGATCACATCAACTTTGTGGATAACTTAGTTCTCTCAATAGCAATTTCTCAATTGCTAAGGGTCCCAAGCTCTGTACAAAGCGGAGCAAAAACCAAGGGGCTGGTTTGTATCAGGTTACTTTCATGCATGCATGGTCCTTTATTGCCCTGGTGAGTGAGGGCCCATTACCACTGCTTGCAGTTTTAATATTAATTGTTGAAACCCAAACTCTGATAAACATTAAAATGTATACTTACATTTCCATTGACAATGACATCAAACCTTATAGCAAAAGCCTTGACCAGAGTGCGGTAGTCCGTCCCGTTTTCCATCTTAAAATATTTTGCAAACCTGTAAAGAAAAACCCATTACAAAATATTACCAATTTATTATGTTAGTTTCAGTATTACATTTTTGTAGATTTGTTTTAATATGAACCGTGACTTTGGAGTAGTACTATTAAAGTTTATTTAATAAGGCCTGGGCACTGTGAAACAACAAAAGGCTCTTACGTTTATGACCTGAACATTATTGTTATTGTTGTTATTGTTATTATTGGTATTATTATTCTGCCAACCAGAGGCTATTTTAACCAAGTTCGAGTGGGCTGAGCATGATGAAACTTGGTAGTCACATAGAACTAGTTTTAATTCAGGGAGGTGCAAAGATTCAGATCGGCGCATAGAACGTTGAATCTCTAGCACCCTCTAAACATCAGCCCCACTTATGACCTGAGTGAAGTTGGCCCCCCCACCTTCTTCAAATCAGACAAAATTGGTGTCAAACGTTTGTGCTACGTTTGTGCAGCAAAAATTTTCGTTTGTGCCGCTATCGTTTTAGAGATATAAAGAAATGTTTCTAGAGGTCATCCAAGGTCAACCAGCCCCCCCCACCTTCTTCAAATCAGACAAAATGGGTGTCAATCAACTCGGCTACGTTTGTGCTGGTTTGTGCAGCAAACATTTTCGTTTGTGCTACTTTGGCTTTGAAGATATTAATGAAAGTGTAAAGATCAAAAGGTCAACCAGCCCCCCCACCTTCTTCAAATCAGACAAAATGGGTGTCAATCAACTCGGCTACGTTTGKGCTGGTTTGTGCAGCAAAAATTTTTGTTTGTAACGCTATCATTTAAGAGATATAAAGAAATGTTTCTAGAGTTCATCCAAGGTCAACCAGCCCCCCAACCTTCTTCAAATCAGACAAAATGGGTGTCAATCAACTCGGCTACGTTTGTGCTGGTTTGTGCAGCGAAAATTTTCRTTTGTGYTGCTTTGCTTTGAAGATACTCATGAAAGTGTAAAGGTCAAAAGACCAACCAGCCCCCCCACTTTTATGAAATCAAACAAAATTGGTGTCAAACGTTTGTGCTATGTTTGTGCTGGTTTATGCAGCAAAAATTTTTTGTTTGTGCTGCTTTGGCTTTGAAGATATTAAAAGAAAAGTTTCTAGAGGTCATCCAAGGTCAATGAACACCTGTTCATGGTGAAACTGTGAATTTCATTTAAATTATAAGTTGTTAACCCATGAATATGAATAATTTAATTTTAACCTGGAAGAAATTCAATTCAAACTAGGTCTTATTTAGAATGAACAGGCAGGTACAACCATAAGACATAATATAAGGATGGATGCCTCATGGACCGCTCTCGCCTATTGTTGCTGACAAGATTTAGGGCGGCCATCTTGGAGCGGTCCACTGCTCCACTCAGCGTTATGTGTCTGCCAGGCACAATAAGACATCTGCGCATGTAATCGATCATAACACACCTTTTTGTTGCTGGAAACCATATTCAAACATCTATCAAAGCTACATTTATAAACAATTGTATTTTTGAATTTTTTTTTATTTCCATTGATACATAGTTCAGCATATTTAAATATGCTTAGTGGGGAAAACAATAGAACAGGAATGGAATATTCTGATATTGATGCACGATGAGCA